TTTGTAGTTTACTTATTATTATTTTGTCAATAATTCATCATGTAGATTCAAATATAAGTGGTTACACAATAACAATATTTCTTAGACTTTCAGTTCTAATTATTATTTTTTCTTGACAATTTTATTTACTTAACATGAAGGGAGACAATCCACAGAATCGTGCCAACACCATTCCACTATTTTGTTATTCGTGGAGTATTCAACTGAGAGATTTTTAATTAAAAAAAAAAAATCAGGATACTGACATTGTATATAGTCAGTCAATAATCACATTTAGGATTTTGTCAAAGTAGGAATTAAGCAGCGATCTTGTTAGTTTTTTTAGTGAATTGCGTGCATGTGCATATAGGATTCAAATATTATTGAGTCAAATTATCGACTTTTCGCTTAGAGTCAATGATCATTATTAAGGCGTGCCAAAAACTCCGAGTGGCCTTATAGTGCGTCATTTCATACACTTGCAAATATAGAAATATATACATATACATTGAGCACTAAGTTTTTATAAAGTGGTCAATATCAAAATGTTAGTCTCAAACAAGATCACGAGAGAACAGATTTGCAGTATTGATATATTACCAAAATTCTTAACGATAAGAACCATATAAATGCATAATCAAAAAGTCTTCCATAATGGTGCCAGTCTGGTCAATAGTGGACAATTTAATAAACAAACATTCTGAGTTTTTGGTACTCTCGGTGATTAGTTTAATGGATCATGCTTTATCCGTAATCTAGACTGATCTTACCATCCTTCCTTGCCTCCGTGGAGTTGGAGATAGAGATTTAATTCATATCCTAGAGGCGGCTTATTGTGGGAGTTGGACTTGCATAGAATTGGTGGATTTCCAAAATTAAGGGATTTATTAATTTTTAAAGAGTTATTTGTCTCTGCTTAAAAAAAAGAGAGAGAGTTATTTGTATTAACAAAAATTAATCAAAAAACAAAAGAGTTATTTGTTTTTTTTTGTTAAAGGGTTTGCAAAAGAGTTAAAAAAAAAAGGAGAAAGTTATTTGTATTGACCCAAAAAAAAAAGGTTATTCAAAAGTTTCTAAAATAGTATCAACGAGTTTTTGTTCCCGTCATAGTGTCCGACAATCCATCCCAATGTTTAAATCTTTGACTGTTACATCTTTTTTTTTTTTTGTTTAACATCTATCTTTATTTATGTAGAATCCGATATC